AGGTATTTTTTATTCAGCTAATTCACGTAGTCTTTCTGTATTTTCCGAAATTTTATACTTAAGCGTAAATAATTGATAGAATTTTTAGTTCGATCCTTTGCATGCAGGCTTGAAATTATCACGGGAATCCAACATCCCGGGCGACTGCAATTGGATTCACTGCTTAGCCGCAGGATAGGTAGACTCGTCGAACAAGATAACTAGAACACGATACCTGAGTTACGATCGGTTGAAATGCTTTTGAGCTTCAATTAAACTGACAAAGAGATGCTGCAATTATGCATCAGAAGATTTTTTCGCTCCTTGTTGAGACGGCATTGCTGTGTTTTAGAATGCATATAAAATGTTAGCCCCTGGCGTCGTTCATTTCCTACTGGCTGTTAAAGAACAGTTCAAACTTCATTTTAAGATCTAAAAAAATTCACATACCATTCTAAATATAATGAGTTTTAAAGAGGCAACTTTGTGTCCTGGTACTATTAAGTCATTACAATTAACTCGACTGTATAGTACGGAGGACTTTCTAGAAAAAATTAATCGCGTCTACTTCAAAGATAACTTCTTTAAATTGAAGTTCACCAATTGATATGTTATTTCTTTAACCTCTTAGGCACTATGCGCCACTATAGTGGCTTTCGCGGATGCCATACTGAATTGTATTATTAATTATTAGAATAAATTATAAAGTTAAAATGCGTGTATCATATCTTTAAGAGAAATTATAATTTAATCATCAAACACTTCATTCCAATGTACTCGTGTAAAGAACAGCATTATCCGTCACACATTGCAGTGCCGTATCATTTACACGTAATTCGCGTTGAACTCTGCCGTACAGAGAAACAGCCCCGCGCTAAATTCAGCCGTGCCTAAGAGGTTAAATGATCAAATAAAGTCACAACACAACGACCCTCCTAGAATGGGATACGTTAATACGACATCGTTATCTAGGAACCAAGAACGGCTTTGACGTACTGTTGAAACCAGGGAGGCCATAATAAACGTAACATAACATAACGCATGGGATTAGTATTCCGTAAATGTCAAGAGCTAATTTACATGACTATCTTTTAAAAGTTTCGTCGATTTCCCGAGTGCATGGGTGTATCCCTATGCTAAACTTAATCCTAGTTACACAGTAACTTCTTGATGCATTATTTAAATGATCCTCAAATCGAACTAGATATTCCTTTGCATAAGAACGCGACTGAATTCGCAGCTGAATTGAATATCCACGACCGGACGAGCTATGTCGTCACGAAAACGTGGTGACCGTAAGGCTACATTAAATGCGCTAGAAATAAAGGCGAGCACTAATAGCATAAATAAAGGCTGGGTATCTACTGGTAGCTACCGTACGCGGAGTACGCATGCGACTGCGCATGCTGAAGATGATAATATTATTAATAATAACGCTAATGCGTGCAGCTTTACGACGCAAGACGAACGAGAGCGGTGCGCAGCGACGTACGGGAGCCAGAGATTTCCATGTATAATGCGGATACGAGTGAGTGCCTCCTTCTGCAGTACACAGCTGCTGCATCCAGGCTACGCCCTCGGTATTATCCGTAATGAGTTCTACACGCTTCGCGTTTTTTCACTCAAACGGCTTTGCTGTTTTGCATGAAACAAGGTAAAGACTGAAGGGACCACTCGATCCTTCGCTCATGCGGCTGTGCGTCTATATGCGATAGCACATCAAAAGCACCACCTTCTTTGCACTGCCATAAGCTGTACCGTGTTGGCTTTGTCTGTAGAAAAATTTTTGGATGCAAAATTCGTTGGAGAAAACACTTTGGTCGTATACATATACTAAATATAGGAATATGTGAGAGCACTATACATATAATGGGAAAGCTCTAGTGTAATGTACAGTGTCTACACTCAGTTTTCTATTTATTCATATCGTTTCGTGTTAATCAGATAATTTTGTATTACGAATGAACTAATTTGGAAACTTGGGCTGCCAGCAAATAGTATTTATGTATTTATCATATATAATCATGTGTATGAAATTTGCTTTGTTTAATAGATCAAAGATTCGTTGTGTTTGAAATATCTTTTATGATTAACGAACCAGTTTGCTTTTTTATGCTGATACGAATTATAGAGCATTTTTTGCCTATTATTTAAAAATTAATATCGAGCATTGCTCGTTTTGAACTTATTTCTTTATAATTTCGAATTCAAATACGAATAAAGGTAAAAAGGATAGGTTTGTAGAAACAATATTACTTTAAGGATGAACGATAATATATATTTTGTTATAACACTTTCATTGCATTTTTATACAGTATTTTCTTATTTATACGGGATTATCGATAAATTCGATTAGCGCAATTATCCTTGATCATATGAATAGAGTAACGGGGTTAGTATGTTATGTAGGTCGACGAGTTCAATGTGCTTTTTTCGACAGTCCTCAGCCAATGCAATCCTTAACGAATCGCATGTAGCTTTTTATAAAATTACGTAAGTATATGCTAAAATGGACTAATCAAATATATTTCAGTGCAAAACACACTTCATAACAAAACTGCAATGCAGAACCACGCGTGGTTTCTATTTTATTGTATGCGATTTGTAAAAAAAAAAAACACATGCAACTCGTAGATCAACTGTGTATTCAAGTGCTTTATCCATCCCTTTCGTGTAAGCTTTAACTATTTGGAGTTGAACTTGACTGACAAAAATTGTTGCTTTATTTTTGTATAAAGAACAAGATCAGTTCCTTTATATATAAAAAGTGTCGTGACGGATCCGGTATCTTTGTAACGCAAATTTTTCTATAAAGTCGTCTTGGAATTCTGATCAAGGTGGACATGATGCCAACGTGTCTCTTCGACTCGACGACATCTGCTACTAGCTTAATGGGGAATAATCGAGAAAAAAATCGATGATGTATATGGAAGACAATAAGAAGGATTAGCAGTTACAGTTACCGGCCACACGAGTTAAGGAGTTACGAGTTACAAGCATAGTAATTGGTTGGCACGTGGGCGCCTCATTAATACTCGTGGCATGCTATGCTACCCGCGAGCTGACCCATGTGTCTTCTGTGTGCCCACACCGTCGAGGCCTCCTTGTCATGATTTAATGGAAAATCTCATCGCACATGACGATAGATATTGAAGAATTTTATCCACTCGCCGATTCTTCGAGAATCGACAGGCCCCTACACCCATTTCTGTAAGGACAATTGCAACACGAAGCAGTCAGTGCGATAGCCAAAGCGAAACAGGGAGATCGGGCCCTCTGGCACTCGGCGACAGATTTATGGTACCGCTATGGCCGGCCAGAAGAGTGACGAGAAATTAATGTTGGCACTGCAATGCTCCTGGCTACCCGCTGCTACGAGGATGTTTTCTCAAGGCACCCTCGGCGTTCCGTCTCTTAGCCCTATTCGTTTCATGTCGGCCTGTTCCGCCATCGTTCGCAAAAATTTTCTAATTTACTGTCTACTCGTGATAGGAAGCAGCCTCTCATAACGTATCCTGAAGGAGAAAAAATGTTATTCGCCTGTGTCTGGTATCGGAGGATGCCTCCATCAAATGATGCTTTCTGACATTTCTTTCTGAATATTTCTTAGGGGGATACGAGAAACAATTGAGTAATCTGATGCACTGTATTATCTGGGTTGTATTTCAGGCGTCACGTTGCTGCTCTTGTGTTGTTTTACTCTATTAATCTCTTTGCCGAAGTTTCGAAGATGGCAGCGGATGCTGTTACTGTTAACTCGTGGGGCTAATAGCCTCGACCCGTCGTGTCTCGTATTTTTCAAGAAAGCAGAAATTGAATTTTCCACTGATGTGCGCACACGCTTGTACCGATCCGTCATATGAGTCTGAAATACATGCGCGAGTGCGCTAGTAGTCTGTTATATTTTGCATATTCATAAGCAGAGCGCCCAGGTCGAAGCAACATCTATGTAGGAACCGTCAACCCATGGCCTGAATAAATCACATTGCCCGCGGACGGCATAATTTCGAAGTTAATAATTTGAGAAACAAGCACGCTAAACTCTACGAGAACTTCACGAACAAGACCCCGGGCATGTGGCCGCTAATGGCGTCGCATTAATAGTCCTGAATTGAGAAAGGAAAAACTTGGAACTGTCGCAGGCACTCGACGCAACTGCACGACGTTCCCGACTTGTATGACTTATTTTTGTTCTCCTATACCGGTAAAGATATTGTATGTTTCTGGAGGAAACAATGGCGGATTATTTAGAATATTTTATCAATTCTAAAGAGGATCGCTTCATCTTATTAAGTATCTTAGTGATTTACTCAAGCAGTAATTAAAAGTTTTCGATACTTCTACGTTCTTAACCAATCGGATATTTGATTGCATTCAAGCACATACTGCTTAGTAATTCTATTTCTACAAATTCTGTTAATTCTTAGCAATGTGCTGTTTTTGAAATATTAACCATTTTTTTTACGTGTTTGAATATCAGATGCATGTTATATAACATAAAAACTATGTAAATGTAGTTGGAACCCTTAGTCGAAATTCCGTTATGAAAATTGCGAGGGCCCACTGAGGTCCTACTTACGCCTAGACTGACCCAGTGGTGACCTAGAGGGACCTGGACTTGCAAAGAAATTTTCTATTGGGAATGCCGAGTAGAACAAGAAGTTATTACTGTGCGATTAATATGAACGATTAAAAAGTAAAGCTCAGCTTCATGTATCATGAAATTTTACAAGATTTAAAGGAATATGTTTATTTCTATAAAAAAAAAAATCACTTCATCCATCAAGTTTCCATTACTTATATACCTTTGTCATCTATATCATATTATCAACCATTTTTAATTACGTCTGTGAGAGACGTTCCTATCGATACAGACTAGTGCCTGATTTTGTTATGGCAGTGCGACGTAAAAATATTAAATTTTGCTGTACTTGAAACGTATGCATAAATTTAACTGATTGCCTTTTTTTTAAAAAAAAAAAGAATGTAAGAAATTTGCACGTTATTATTCTGTGTTTCAGGAAGGCGCCGTCGTCAAAAGAAGAACCAAAAGCATCGTCAGTGAATATCCCCGAGACGTCCGAAGACGACGGATGGGAGATGGCCTCAGGTAATACGCTCAAATTATCCTCCAATTCAGTTTATCAGGCATGGGGTGCAACAGGCACGTATCAAGAGCGCGCGAAATCCTCAAGATCATCCGAGAATAAGGATGTAGTCCAATTGGACAAGTTGAGCGACACGTTACGATCAGAGAGCGGGAAGTTCGAACAGTCCAAAGTCGTGCATAAGATTCGACTGAAAAACACTTTGAGTCTACCGACGGATTTGCGAAATGGTCGAGCTTCGAAGAGAGAGACCCCAAAGTACACAATACTGCGCCGTAGTCCTGATCAATTGGAAAGTAGAAACATCGAAGATTCTCGACCTCTAAGGCCACTTCTTAAGGGAACACCAGACGATTTGAGGAAGATGCAAACAACGGAGAAAATTGGTGACGCCGAAAATTACACCTCTATCTCCACTGAGATTGACACAACCGATTCGGAATCGCGACTGAAACACGAGAAACTGTTCGAAATGAAGAAGGAGAGTCTCACGAGAGCAAAGTCCAATCCGATCAGTGGCGAGAAGCCGAAGACAGTTAACTCGAGGCTGAAGAGCCTGGATGCTGCTGCGCTTTTCCAGAAAAAGATGGTCAAGACGCCGGTCAGTACACCCCCGATGAGTCCCAAGGCGAAACGCTCGCCGAAGAAACAGGCCAAGAACAAGTTGACGGATCTCGGCAGCAACGCTGCGTGTCTCAACATTCTCGAGAAGTCTGAGCGAAGTGAGAAGGGTGAGAAGAGCGAAAAGACCGCAGCGGCAAACGAGAAACTCGTAACGATGTTGGAGAAGCAAGTGACGAATGGAGAGAGACAGAAAAATGCGGAAAAAACAACGACAAAGGACGAACAAGCATTGAAAAAGAAAAGCAACGTTGACGACAAGATCGAGCTGAAGAGGCCGACAATGAAATTGCTGCGAAGTGCCCGGAAGCGCCCGGAAAATGTCCTCATCACTGGAAGTCTTTTATTTAGAATTGCCCAAATTGCTGGTATTCTGCTTCTGCTATACGTATTTATTGTCTTTTGAGAGCGAACGAAGACTGCGTATGGAGATTATGGATACGAAGATCGCTTTTGATCATCGGGCAGCTACGTATTATGAAATTTTTCATTGGCTGAATTGCTAGATAGTGCGTGGAAACGAACGCCTGCCTCAGGGAGGAAGGACATTACTATGAACTTTGCGATACGTCGTCCTTTTCCTTTCGGTGCGGTTACGAAGCTCAAAGTAATTGGAACAAAATTTTTAGAAACTTTTTAAATTTTTTACAAATTTTTTTTCATACCGCGAGCCTTTTGAACAACTTTATGTCTCATTAAATCCTTCTTATCATGTTTAAACTAGGACTGATTGCAACTTGATTTCTATACATATGTTAAGTTTGATCGATGTAGATTGACTTAGTTCGATAATTTAGGTTTTTCCGCTGAAATTCTTGGTCTTTCATTACAAGCAATTTACTCGCTTTTTACTTTTGTTATCATGCGCGGCTTGTGCTCGATAGACGTGGCCGTTTAAGTTAATTTGACAGCTCCATGAAGCTTGCGTAATCGAACACTAGCTCAGTAATTTACAGGTTGTTTCATAACAACTAAATCATTGAGAGTCGATAATTTGCCTGCTGTTATTAATCGAAATACGATATGTTTCGCGAATAACACACCAAGGCATTCCCTTCGTTTTCGAGGGATTAATTATAAATCTATCCTTCTCTGTGCTTTAACCATTAGACAACAATCAGTAGATACAATATCGTTACAAAATTTAATCAGACCTTCTCAGCGAAGCATTTTTTTACTTGATCAGACACAGCGGGCTGTGCACCAATACTGTACCTATAGAAAGATATCTTTACTAATTGGCAACGATATAAGAAAAATAATCTTTCTTTCGAGTGTCTCAGTCGAATGTGCAAGTATTCCTGCTAGACTTCATTCTGTCTGGAACGATAAATAATTGACATTACTCGTAGCCACTATCTAATATCATTTTTATCTCGCATATTCATTTCTTATTACATAGAACGTGAGTCTTGTGAATCGGGAACTGATATTGAATGACGATTACACGTATGTAACAATCTCCTGTCGCGTTGTTATAGACAAAAGGTTTCATTTCTCTCCTATTAGTAACTGTCAAGAACTCGGGCTACTAATTTTGAATGACAGATTAACAATGATCTCAGAATACCGTCGGACATTCGCTCGAAAAACATAAAGGCTGTGCAACGATTGCGCAGTGTCTTGGAGATACTCGAAATATACATATATTCTTATCAATATGTACAAGAGCAGTAATGGAAATAATGCCTGCAGCGACTGCAGTGATAATCATGGGTGCTTTTCAATTGCACGACCTGTGTCGACGTATGTCGAAAAACGCAAGCACAAATTTCTAAGGAAAACTGGAACAGTGGCTATAGTAAAAATGGCTAAAGATCCTCATGCTGCTACGCGTTTGTTGGCTTGTGTCGAGATTGGAACAACACAGTGCGGACTATTGTCCACATTTGTCCAGTGATATTTCAATTGGAAAGCACTCGATAATTCGAGGAGGCTTAAGCACGTGCAAGAAAGCGAACATATTTATTTCGTTCTCTTTGACACGCGTCTGTATAACATTTTATAGAAAATTATTTTTTTTACATGGAAAGGCGTAGATCTTAAATTAGCAGTATTATCACGTAGCGGATTGAAATAATGCGATCTGAATGCTGTAATTATTTTTTTGGAATTCCGGAAAAATTCCTAGTTAAAAAATATATATGAATCACATATGATCAGTATAAGATTTCGAATTTATATTGACTTTATACTGATTGCATGTGAATCGTATATAAGAATAATCATTGATGAAGGTAGGGTATCAGTCACACGTAAAATGAAAAATAAGAATAACAAATATAAAATTCATAATAAGGAATGGTAACAATTATACCCCGACGTGATACTTTCATCAAAATAAATTATTTATTTATTCATTAAGAACGATTTATTTTATTCTTATTTTTATTTGCCGTGGGACAAACATTATATACATCTTCTTCAATGATTATTCTTATATACTATTCGCATATAATCGGTATGAAACTATTTGTACTGATTGTATTAGATTTATATTTTCTTTTTTGTTGGGCCAATTGCGATATGTTTTTGGTAATGCTACAACGGCATTATTTTCTTAACGGTCTCGTCTTACCCCATCTTCCCTGATACAAATTTGAAAACGGATTTTGTAATTCTTGAAAGACCTTCAGATCGCTCTATTCGCGTGGAACTTGTGTACTTATTATTAGTATTAGAAATTGTCAAAGGGGGAAATTGTGATTACGGCCGAAGGCGATTCATAATTTTTATTTTATTTGCTATCTTTTTTTTGAATTTTGAAGTTTGGATATACCTTACTGATGTCCCCGTGAAGAGTTTTTCTCATTTACTATTCCGCTTAAGGTTGTTAATTGTGCCTGTGTAGGTTTTTAATATTTTTTACACGTAGAAAATGTTTAGAATAAGTTATACAAAAAAAAAACGAGACCCTTCTTTTGAAACTCATAGGCTCATATATGCGTTAATGCTGCACAAATATTATAGTTAAAAAATTGTTTCCTTAACAAACTATTGATGAATTGCATAATCATTAGGAAATTTCATTACGTCGATATCCATTTTGTTGGTAGAACTGTGTTTTTGGTATCGGTTGATTGACTTGTTTTAGTACTCTTAGGGTTTTATCCATTTTAGCATCGATTTTAGGAAATTAGTAGAACGTATGATAACAAACTAATTCAGATCTTTTAAGCCTACGATTTTTAAAACCCGAACAAAGAAACACTGTTTCATACAATTGCTTTGTTCAAGTCATTTTTTACTAATATTTTCCTTTATACTGGAGAAGTACGTTGGTCGGATAATATACATATATACGTAAATGTATGTATGTACTTAGATCGGTATATATGTAGCTTGCCAGATCTTTAGACTTCGCAAAATCACAGTACAACAGATTCATTTGACTTCAATGATTTTAACGATTAGCAAAAATATACAGATTTGTAGAAATATGCATGCTCGAATCGTAGAATGTTTCTGCTGAATATCTACTTTAATTGAATTATTTGGAAAATTATATTTTTCATGTTTAACTTATCTCGTATATGCATATGACAATGTATGCACAATTCAATTCTTAGCAAATCGTACGTGGTTTTCTATACAAAAACATAAATGTATGCTAAAGTAGAAAAGGAAAATATCTTTTGTTCAAAATAATGCATATACACACTTTGTAACAAACATTTTAGACAATGACACGTATGCCTCACTAGAGATTTCATTGTTTTTGATTTGTTAAAAAAGAACACATCGAACTCGTGGATCGACTATACATGAACATATCGAGTAGACATAAAACACCAAAAATCGTACTTACGGCAGGAACAGTAAAAAAAATGAAAATATTGGAATAAGTACTTGGTGTTGCTGTATTCCTATCCACATGGTACTCGGTGCGTTGCGAATGATATTAACGTTAAGATTGTGATAAATAGATCTGTTGAAACTATATGTTACGGTAAATGCAGTTGAAGAAACAAGAATTGCTATACTATTGTAGTTTTATAAACGAATTTATATAGGCGCAGGGATGATGAAGAATTGGTAACGGTGATGGTTGTGTAACACACGGAATAATGATTAATATATTTATTTCTTATTTTTCTTAAACAGATGTAGAAGGATAATATCAACGAACACCCATCCTTATCCAAACCTTCGGAAAAAATTTCGACACTAATTTTTATAATTTCTGACGGAATTGATTGCATGACTCCTGATTTAATGTTTTATTATTGAGGACTATTCACCTCAGGACATCCAGTTTATTCAGTCAACAGTTGATCTCTACCTAGGCAAGATTTTAAATTAAAATATGATATGTGGTGATTATCCGTATGTAATTTGCTATAACAGAATCAATGTCTTCTCGTATGAACGAATATTATGGTATAATTATAAAAGTTAAATATTTCATTATCGAAGTATAATATGCAGTTGGTTGAAAAAAATGTTTTTTGAACGTATGGATTTTAATTTCAGAAATTAAGATATTTGTTTCACGTTAAAATCTTTCACTTTTTGAAAAACAGATAATAGATATATTACCTTGTATTCTATATTTCTGTTTAAAATTTTTTAAGTAAGCTAAATCTAACTAATAAATAAGATTGTGGTCAGGATAGATCAGGCAAAGTTACTCGACTAATAAATTTGAAGGGTTATGACGTTGCGCATAAACCAATCTTTCATTATCTGCGCAGGAAAGCGACGGCGTAAGCGGAGAGGTCCTATCGTGACTGGAAAAGCGCTGGATGCAGAGCGGACGAAGAACTTTGCCGAAAATACTACTTGGGAATAACAGAACCACGATCCAGCAGTATGCGGAAGATGACAAAGCACAGATCAATGGATTTTTATTGCTAGAAAATAAATCATTTTATTATACCTAATGTTTTCCTAAAATAGAATCACAATTTATCAAGAAGATCATCATATTTTGAATAAATCAAAATACATTACAATTAATATCAGTTAAACACAATTTACCTCGATGAAATGAAAGCGTCAGCAAATTAAATAATTGTCCGTAAGATATATGGAGATTTTATTTTCAGTATTATAAATATAGAAGTAATCTACTAAAATGTTTAAAAGTAAAAATATCTCAGATCTTTAATTTTCTCTCACCACATTAAAATAATGTTTTTCAAAATTATTCTTTAACTGATACTAAATTTGAGTGATAAAATATATTAATTCTCTTATAGCTATGTATGTAAACAATAATAATTCTCAGCACCAAATAATATTTTTGCATTGATTGTTAAAACATTGTATTAACAAAATGTGGTCTTTAGGGCCGTACATGCCAGTAACTAGTGTAACGACAGCTGATGCTACTGTTCAAGGGCTAAATAAAAATATCATTTTTTTTTGACGACATAAGCACCAACTCTTAATATACAAATTAAAAGAAATGATTTTATCTTCGATTAAAGATTTCATTCACTCATTATGGAAATAAATGTACGAATGATTTTGAATGATATAGTTAATAACATCAATCATACCCAATCAATCGTAATTTTCTTTAATGCCTCATTTACGAAATGCAGTATTCATAATCGTTACTCAGCGGAATTTAATGAGAAAAAGATTCTCATTTGTAATGAGAAAAAGATTTTTCAATGACCATAAATATTCATGTTCGTCGGAGATTATTATCTTTGAATTTCCTGCTGAATGCGTAAATAGCAGCCGCTCTAAACTATAATAATATCTCAATATAATGACCTTAAAAAACATTAATATTTCATGTACAGACTCCTAACATTATTAGGTTATTTGTTAACTGCATAACATTGATAACGATAACAAGTATACACGAAGAAAATAAGCATCTGTCATACAGATAATAACGATTTAAAATTGTTAAAGCGTTTTGCCAGATTTACCCTGTTATATACAAAAGCGTCTTTATTATTGTTTGAAATGTTGAATTTATTAGACACGTTATTTGTCCTTGAATACACTTTACGTCCATATTATTCCAAGTATAATATACAAAAGCGCCAAGTCGCTGTATCCCTTATTTACACGGTGATCAATTTGTCATCAATAACAAAATTCAATCAGTCTACACATAACAGGCAAAGTCTTATGACTAAATTAAATTTCATTCGTGTGTTAGCTATCTCATTCTATATTCTGTACTGTTCTAACATTCATCATTTAAACCGGGTTACACATGCGTGTTCGACTAAACTAATTTTATCTGTGCATTGAATGCTTATCGGAGCTCCTGGTGTATCTAGATCAGCCACAATCGTGCGATATTCACCAAGCAAGATGTACCGAGCAGCCCTCGATTGGCAAGAGAATGAACACAGGATTGGGAGTGTGTACAATACCCCATTGCGCGGTAGCCTCGTGAAGTCTTCAAAACGTCGTTTACTGGATAAACTGTTCAAAGCGGTGAGTACCTAGACCGAGGAGAATTCATTTCACTAATTTAAAATTATATTGACGATTAAATGACTTTTAATTTTTCGAATCATCTGTTCATAGCTAGATTTTTACAATACATACAACGGCGGTATTACATGTATTTAAAAGTCTGTTGAGTACCCTGGTATATTATGTATTGAAATTTAATAGAGAACCTAAAAAGATCAATTAATTTGTCTTCCTATGTTAATCAGACCAGTTATACTTGTCGTAACATTCGGGAAATCGAATCCTTCGTTGATTTAAATTGTTCGTAATGAAAAAAATAAATTACACAGTATTTATATTTTTTTTAAAGGACATTTGTCGTATAATACTATACAATTATTGCAAGATGTCAAAATCTATGTAATCAAATTGATTAATATACTTCATAGAGGATAGTTGCAGTTTTCCTAGGATAATGCATTATGCTTTCTACAGCATCCTTTATGAAATCATATCCCGATTTCACCAAATGCTCTGTGCAAGCGAAGTTCTATTACCAATTGTAGTTCTGTTTCACTCATAGCCATGCAGATAAAGGATATAAAAGTGTGTGTACCATCGACAATGAATTTCGGATATGTACAATATGAGCTAAATAGTCTACATTAAAAATATGTCCATTTTTATTTTATAAATACTCGATCAAAAACGTGTAATGTGTGGTAAGGTAACGAGAGAAACAGAGATAAATTATGAAAATTATAATTCAAAGTATGGAACGTCAAAGGATTTTTATAATATCTTACAAGTTAATTTAACGATTTACATTGTTTATTTATGATATTACTGTGAATTATATTATTTCAATTTTTGAACAGATACATTTTCAAATGTCAAAGTCCAATGTCCACTTATGCTTAAATCTATTTGTATTATTACATATGTGTACTTCGTTCAAAAGTCAATGGTATTCATTTTTCAAAAATCATGTTTGACTTTAATAAGTCTGATGTGGGAAAACAAAACTTCTTTACTGAATTTAAAGAATTGTGTCGTTTCCTGAAGTATAAACGACTCGTATATGTAATTGCGTTTTTAGTTTAGTTTAATTAATTTTCGCTTCCACTGGATATTTAATTTTGACATATGTAGCCGACTATGCATGTATGTAATTAGGTCAATATCCAAATGGTTGTATGGAATAATGACTATTTGTAATCGGTGATTTTAGTGAATTTAGCTCACGCTCTATTGATTATATTATTTCAATCACATTTTCTTCAATGGTTGCATATTTTTATGCAAATGAATATTTATACAATGCAAAGTGGGTTTGTGCCATTTTTAAATATCGCTGCAGTCTTATTTGAATTTAAACATTCTAATTGTCAATGAAGTCTCGTGATATCATCGTTGAAAATAATTGTCGCTAGGATCAATTTATTTTACCTATTTTTAATTAAAAAAAATTTACTAATCTTAGAAGGAAACTAATGTATTGATCATTATACATATTGGTACCATTATTGGAACCTGTTTTATTCGACATGTAAAGATGAAACCCAGTCGTACAACTGTTTCGCTGAATTTACCGAGGTGTAATTGATATACGACGCTTTTGCCATGCTACTTTGTATTTTCTGCATTCTCTCTCATAAGAACCTGCTGTCTACCATTCTCTATGTCCTTATTAGATATCTTAACTGGCTCAAGAGAATAAGTCGAGTCTGAACCTAACGATAACTACACGTTCAGTTGCACGCATAAATATGTTCATGTACCACGGCCAATTCTATTTCCCAAAGGGAAGAGTTGTTCTTTTAATGAAGGTCTTATTTCTTACATATGAGTCCATACGATGAAAAATAATCGATGGCATTAATATATAATTCGAACATTATGTTCCATTAACATAAAGAGAAGAAAGTTTGATCGATGGGCGTATATTAAAATCTACAGATCGTCGATATGAAATTGCTATTCGCATTCGTTTTTACCTTCGCTTATTAGACGTTACTTATTTCACTTGCAATAACTGCGAGATGTTGCTATAGCTGCTACTTGTACTGCTGCACTAACACGCAGTATTATCATCAAGGTATATCAAGTAATAATAAATTGAAATTGTTAATTCCAGGTAGAATGTTCAATAAGTAAATAATTATTATTTGTAATATGTTTATACTTCGTGTAGACAGAATTTACAGTTATTACTCAGAACGCCTTTCAATTTGTTTAATGAATCACAGTATAAGAGTTGATGTAAGCATGAGTTATTTATAGAACTTTGAATGCTTATTTCGATGTGGCGCGTTGGACATTTTTGGGATTTCCAAGGGCATTGCATTTTCTCTAGTCAAGGCACATGCCGCATAGAAACCCCAACCCTGCCACAACGACACTTTTGCTGTAAATAAATATACGATTACGATGGAATTTTAGGACGTATTATACACAATAGATATTTTTTTTAACAAAAATCGAACACGACGATTACTTGACAGAATTTGAATTTGTGATACATGCATTTTCATGAAAATATTTCAATAACTTAAGATTAGGTAATCGATCCTTTAAAAGAGAGTCAATAACCGTTTTGAATAATATTAAATCAATGTATCAATCTCTGAAGACTCTTGGGAAAGAATTTATAAAATTGCTTCACGCAAGAGGAAGCCGACGTGTGCCTTAGCAGCACAGCGTCTCGATGAGAAATATGAGTTAGTAGAAAAAGCTAGAAGACGAATGCAAGAAAATGACAGGTAAAATAAAACTGGTCTGATAATAAATAATAACAATAAACAGACAATCGACAACCGTAACTCTGCGGCACGGTGTACGAGACTTTCTAGATTGACAGACGGCTAAACATTTGTCCATTCCGACCTACGATTCTTCTACTGTCGAATCGGACAATAGTACTGCTGTTAATTACAAGAGCGATCTCATGCCCAATCATTCTAGGCATGACGGTGCCATTTTGTCGGGTTACGTGAAACACAGCTTCTATTTCGGCCCATTTGTATTTCATTGCGGGTTACAATGCCCCCGTCGATTAATATCGATTACCAAAGATTCTTAGAACTATTTTCATGCGCCCCTTTTGTTCCCTCGCCAGACGTACTTTCTGCCCGATTGATTGGCTGCAGACAAATCAGTTTTTGTCTTTCGGATAGAAACCAGCTTGATTGCTGGTAACGTTTAAATTACCTCGTCTCCTCAGTCTTCTTGAGTCTTTTCCAATTTCTCGAACGTCCATGCAGATATTTATGGTCGCGAAAGACACTCGGCCAATGCCAGTGAAGAAAATCGAGTCAAGGTCTGCAGCTGGCTTTGAGCATGGTTCGATGGGCGCAAGAGTAGCATTAAATTTGGATGTATCACCTTGCTGGAACTGAGAAAGCTTTACTGTAATTTTATGATTTGGACATAAGATAGACACACTTTGACTTTTAGTATCGGCACGTATCGATAGGTTGCATTTAAATATCGAACTGCTCTACATTTGCAGTAATACACTGCAGCGCGGTGTAATGATTTCTTCGGGTTCTATGATGTCTAAGATACACAGTGCCCGGCAGCAGCGCATGTATAGACAATGATGCAAGTGCACGTTCCGTCTAGGCACGACGCCATTTCTATGTTCCATATGTCTACCGTGAAGTCATAGGTACAAGTACTATCCGTACGTAGAATTATTTACTCAGAGACGTAGGTGGAGGAAACTTCATTTGGTATCGGATATTCATAGTAAGCATGCCCGTTCTTCGACAGTCGAAGCAAAACACACGCACAAAGTACATTCGCGTAGAAGCACAAAAAATGTAGAGCGAACGATGCGCAGTAAATAGCGTCCAACGATGGAAAGTGCAATTGGCTCGGAGAAAATATAAATTATGGTAACACTGAAATGGCTTAATGGAGCGCAATTTAATTTCACAGTCATATACGCGCAGTCTGCGCGGTGCGTAGAAGGAACACTCTGTGCACCGAGTATAGTGGTAGATAGATAATGCTTGCCCCAGCCGCTCGTAATTAACGAACTCCAATCCCTGCGTAATTAATACGTTGCGCGTAACGCTAACGAAGGAACGGTGCGCTCGCATTTGGAAATCTAAAAGTCCTGACTCTCGGGTTTCCTTCGGAAGTCTCGGACACGTACCTACGATTCTGTTATTTATTTATCATACAAAGTATGCATAGGCGTTACATTGGCTTGCGTCGATTTCCCATGAAAGCCCCGAAGCACGTCGTGTAGGCGCCTAAATGAGGTTGCTCGTAAGTACGAAGAAGCACTGTCTCGAAGATCAAGCACGAGAATTTAGCCTCGATTCGCATAAGGGATAAGAACGTTTTGCACAAGTCACAAATCATCCGAGGTTAAACGATACTGCATGAAATATTGTGTCCGCGCACTGTAATTTACAAGTATCACACGGGCGTACGTATCGGTGGAGGTAGGTACGTAGTAGGTAGTAGGTAGTAGGTAGTAGATACTAAGTATGTATGGTACTAGCTATACATTGGGATAAGACGCGGCGCGCGTACGCATCCTGGTATCTCGTGTCTACGTTGCGTCCTTTATCCGGAGTCTCATTAAGTCTCGTGGAAAAATATGAGGGTACCAAGAATTTCATTAATTTCATTCCAGTGCCACGGGACGAGGCTATAAAGTTGAGCGCGTAATCGCTCGTTAATCGCTTTGGCTTCGTTGGATAATTCATAATTTTAATAAGAATCCTGAGCCTGCAATGAGTTCGAGAAGCAGCAGTGTTACAGAAGTCCTATAGAGCTTTGCTTTATGAATTGCGAATGTGCTTTGGCCAGTTTCTATGGCAGCGTCGAAACTTAAGCTGGAGTCGATAATAGACGTACCAGTAAATGTATTTACTGAACTACCAGTCTTTTCTAATCAGTACTCTGTCATGATACGATTCATCCGAACGAAAGTAGATGCAGATGGCAGCACTGAGATAAGCGTTGGACCGGTAATGGCTCCTGCATTTTTCCGTATTATAATATACGATTTCATAATTGCC